AGCTGTTCAAGAAAAAAATCAAATGAAAAAAATTGAGGCAAACATTAACTTGAGGAAAAACAAAAAGTTGTACAAGAAAGGGCATGTAATCATGTATACGACTTGGCACAGATATGAACAATATTAACATCATAAATTTTAAAATCACTGAATAAGAATTTCACTAAAATTGTGACAAATCAATATTGGAAAAGGAAATGGACTATAAAGAAGCTGAAATCCTCAGGTAGTGTGATAGAAGATCAGTGTATTATCTAAAATTGATAGGTCAAAGTGTAGCAGTGTACTCATATTGTTTAGAAACAAATGGCTCTGGAAAGTGTGTATGTTAATGGGGGGTGTCGTAAACTGGGATCAGATGTCTGTTTCTGATATCTTGTTATAACTTTTTATTACTCTTAGCCTTTTAAATTAAGATAAATCATTACATTACTAAAAAGAAATAATTTAAAAAGTAGTCTGAGAAAAAATTGGCTGTTAGAGAAAAAAATTATTAGTAATTAGTAAATTTTTGCCAAGGCAAAAATCCTTCAAAAATTAAGGATAGCCTATATAATTGAAAAGTCATTTTAGGTGCCAATCCCTGAAGTTTTCAGATTAAAATTCAGTAAGGCAAATTCTAATCCTGAAAGTCTTATAGTTAGTGGAGTAGGCATTTACAAGCATAAGTTTACAATGTAACATGAAAAGTGCTACAGTAAGAGCATATATAATTTGAGACCACAAAAGAAAGACAGACAATCCTTGTTTGGGGTAGAGTTGGAGATGGCTCTCCAGAAGAGTTGACATTAGAAATGAGATTTGAAAGATTAGTGGGTTCAGCTGACTAGATAGGAAAGCACATTCTAGGTTGAGATGCTCACCATGAAAAAGCTCAGCATGTCTGGGAAAGAGTAATAAGTTTGGCATGGCTTGAAAGCAGGCCGTGAAGCTGGGAATGACCAACCATACGCCTGGAGTGGTGGACTGAGGTAGGTCTTAGAGGGCTTTGTGAGTTGTGCTAAAGGGTTTGGAATGTAAGGATTTTACCCTGTGGTGTGACACGTCAAACACACATCGTAGAATGATCACTAGCTCTGGGGAAGCCAGTGAAAGACCAAATGCAGAATGCAAGTCTGGGGAAGTCATCAGAAGACTAGCATAGAAAGTGAGAGCTAGAAGCTGGCAGTGAGCTGAGACTGCACCACTGCACTCCAGCCTGGGTGACAGAGCGAGACTCCCTCTCATAAAAAAAAAAAAAAAAAAAAAAAAAATGGCCGGGCGCTGTGGCTCAAGCCTGTAATCCCAGCACTTTGGGAGGCTGAGACAGGCGGATTACGAGGTCAGGAGATCGAGACCATCCTGGCTAACATGGTGAAACCCCGTCTCTACTAAAAAATACAAAAAACTAGCCAGGTGAGGTGGCAGGCGCCTGTAGCCCCAGCTACTCAGGAGGCTGAGGCAGGAGAATGGCGTAAACCGCGGAGGTGGAGCTTGCAGTGAGCTGAGATCCGGCCATTGCACTCCAGCCTGGGCGACAGAGCAAGACTCCGCCTCAAAAAAAAAAAAAAAAAAGAAAAGAAAAAAAAAAAGAAAGTGAGGGCTAGAGAGAAGGGAAGAATTGAGAAATATTTTAGAGGCTGATTCAGTAACAAGTCATAGTGACCAATTGCAAGACGCAGGAGTCAAAAATGAAAATGACTTTGATGTTCACACATTCATTAGACATTTATTGTGTGTCTTCTCTGTGGTAGGCATAGAGCTGAATATGGCATGGTGGTTGTCCCAGAGGAGCTTTTTATTTAGTGACAACACAGAATAAATTAACAGTAACCATAGCTGTGGTGTTCTATACTCCAAGGGCTTGGAGAGCATTGGAATCAGCAGACAGGCAGGTAAAGCAGTCTGGCAGATGACAACCTTGCAGAAGAGGTTCTGGATGGGCAACCAGGTTGGGGTGTTGGGTTGAATGTGTAATTGAGTATGATGTGGTAACTAGGAGAGGGATGTTGAGTTGCCCAGTGAAAATCGGAGCCTAGAAGTGAGGAGAGGGACTCCTCTGTGAGTATGGAGTTGGTTGCTATATGCATGCAGATTGAGGAGGGTTGAAGCCAGGAAAATCTAGAAGAAATGTGAACAGGACCAAGAGGTGGATGAAGCCCAGAAAGACTTGAGAAGAAGCTGTCAAATGAGGAGGAGAACCTACAGTGGGTAAAGCTATTGAGCTGAGGGGATAAGAGTCTGAGAAAAGAATCATCCATGGTGCCATGGTGACAGATGCTGCCAAGAAAGTGGGTAGCAGGGCTAAGGTGTCCTCCAGGTAAGAAAATTAGGCTGGCATTGATGATCTTGGAATGGCAGGAAGGGGTTGCCCTCCAGATGTCATGGGGTATGGAGAAAAGGTGATGAGGATGCTGAGAAATGAATATGCTCTCTCTCAGAAATTGGTTAGGAAGTGATGATGAGATAAGCCAGGGAGCTAGAGTGAGAAGTGGGCTTCAAAAAGATGCAGCTTTTAAGATGGAAAACACTTGAGTATTTATTCTCATTAGGATTGAGTACATAACTTATGGGGCCCAGTGCACAACAAAAATGCCGGGACTCCTTAAAAAAGTATTTAAAAAATTCAAGACAACAGCGGCTAAACGTTAAACCAATGTGGGACCCTTTAAAGTGTAGGGCCCTGTGTAGCTTCATGAGTCGCACATCAGGAAGCAGGCCCTGCTTCTCAGGGTAAGGAGCCAGGGGAGGAAGGTGGAAGTGGGTGGATCACTGATAGAACCCCGGGCAAGAGCAAGTGGGATGAGAGGGACCTGGGGTCCAGGTGGGGACAGAGCCTTGAATGGGAGAAAAAGTAGGACTTTGGTCACCTTCTGAGAAGTGGGAGATGGAAGATGGAAAGGAGATGGAAAATAAGATGAAAGATGAAGAGGAGAGGGTGCTGGAAGTCATTCTGGAGAAATTATTTTCCTTATTGACTAATTTCTGGGTGGAGGAAAGTGGCAGAAGCTTGCAGCAGCATCAGTGGAGTAAGAGGCTGAGAAGCTTTGGGGAGGAAGTGGGGCACTGAGTGGTCCCACTAGCAGCAGGCACTTGGTAGATGGGGCAGGAGCAAGCCAGGTACCCACAGGACAGGTGGGACTGAAAGAGGGGTGTGGAAAGGAGGCCCCTGAGAGGATGGACTGGGATCCGGGTTGGGAAAGTGGTAAGAAATGGGGTGGCCAGGACTGGAGGGCTTTTTCAGTGAGGAGGGAGGTGGACATGAAGATGGAAGTGCAGGAGGCCCATCTCGGAGGGGAAGAATTTGTGCTTTTAGTATTCTGGCTGTGAGGAGATGCGGAAGTTGGTGTAGGTCCAGTCTAGAGCAGGGGTCCCTAACCCCGCGGCCGCAGAGCGGTACTGGTCCGTGGCCTGTAGGAACCGGGCCACACAGCAGGAGGTGAGCGGCGGGTGAGCGAGCATTACCGCTGAGTTCCGCCTCCTGTCAGATCAGCCGAGGCATTAGATTCTCATGGGAGCGACAGCCCTATTGTGAACTGCGCATGCGAGGGATCTACGTAGCGCGCATGTATGAGAATCTAATTCTTGATGATCTGAGGTGGAACAGTTTCATTCTGAAACCATCTGCCCTCCCTCCCCCCAACGCTCCCCACCCCCCCGCCACTGTCCGTGGAAAAATCGTCTTTCACAAAACCGGTCCCTGGTGCCAAAAAGATTGGGGACGGCTAGTCTAGAGGATTCATTCAAAGAGTTAAATAGCAAAGCAAGTGGAGCTAGAAGTTCGTCTGGAAGGAGCAGAAGTGTCGTGGAATTATTATTTTAAGACCAGGCATAAGTGTGTATGTGTGGCAGGGAAAGAGATCATGGAGAGGGACAGGTTAAAGATGTGGGCGAGGCTGCTAAGTAGGGATAAGGGTTTCTTTTCCCTTGAAACCAGAGGAAAGGGAGAGAGACGCATTATAGAGTCGCCTTGAAAAGACTCGGATGTTAAGAGATACTGAGTGTTACGAGGGCGATCTATATGAGTGGGGAGGAACCAGGAATTGGCCTTGGTCTAGGAATGGGGAGAACCATGAATTTTTCTTGGAAACGAAGGGGGTCGCCCGTGAGCGGCGAGGAGAGCGGTGGGAGGCAATGCCGAGTCTCGCCGCTCCCGCCTGGCAGGGGCGGGCAGGACGCAAACCTTCCCTCCCAGTCCCTCGGTTACACAGGGCATCCCCGGCTCTCCGCAATTCGGGGACCTTGCCAGAAGGGCTCCCACCTCCCCAAGCCCCTGCGGCCCCACAAGGTCCAGTTAGGGCTTTTGAAGGCCTAACTGGGGAGAGGCCGTGGTGATGCAGAGGTTTAACCAGCACCCGCCGGGCGCCCCGGGGGCCAGGCCTGGCGCTGGAGTACCGCAGCGAAGGCTCGCAGCCCCCACGCCTCTAGTCTTTAGGCTTGTGCCTAAGAGCGGCCTGGGTTCCCTGGCGCACCCTCCTCTTTCTTAGCTTCTTTCTTTTCCTAAGGGAAACCTCCCCGTATCCTTAGGTGGGGCTCCTGGTTGCTGCCACCACCCCCCTTGCTGCCGGAGCCGGCTCCCTGTCCTCCTGGTGCCCTGCTGGGATATTCCAAATCTGGGCAGCAGAAGCCGGCCGCCGCCGCCTTTATCTGGAAAGGCTTAAGCCCTCTCCGGGTGGGGAAGAAGTCAGAAGGCCGCCTGTCTCCCCGTCCCCCAACCCCCCGCCTCGGTCCTCCAGGCTCCGAGGGGTGCAGCTTGGCCTGGGGCCGCGCGGCGCACGTGCAGTCGAGTCCGGCCGCCGGGCCTCCCCGCCCCGCCGCCGCCGCCGGCCTTTGGCGCAGGGCTGCGGATGCCGCGCGAGCCGTCTCCCTTGCACTTTCCCGGCGGCGGTCCCGTCGGTCGGGGCAGACAGGCCGGGGTTAGAGGACCCGGAGGAGGGGAGGAGCCGGAGGAAGAGGAGAAGGAGGGGGCCCGTCGGCCCCGCCCCCGCCCCGCCCCCAGCGGCCGGAGCCCGGGCTGCAGCCGGGCGCGCCGGAGCCTGCGAGCCCGCGAGCCAGCGAGCGGCGGCTGCGGCCTCCCCTGCGCGCAGCTACCCGAGCGTCCCGGCCCGCGGCCCCGCTAACCCCGGGGCCCGCGTCCCCGCGGCAGGGATGCATCATGGCCACGCTGGCTTGCCGGGTGCAGTTCTTGGACGACACGGACCCTTTCAACAGTACCAACTTCCCCGAGCCCAGCCGGCCGCCGCTGTTCACGTTCCGCGAGGACCTCGCGCTCGGCACCCAGCTGGCGGGGGTCCATCGACTGCTGCGGGCGCCGCACAAGGTACTGCCCGGCGGGGTGGGCTGGGCCCCCTGGACGCAGCCCGGTGCTGCGGTGCGCGCCGCGGTGTGGGCGCCGAGGCCCGGGGCTTCGCGGGCCCCCTGGGCTGGGCTGGGCGCGGCCCCAGGGGACCAGCTCGAGGGCAAATCCCCCTCCCCGTTGGACAGAGGGGCTCGGGGCACTCGCCGGTTGGCGCAGGACCCTTCGGGGCGGGCGGGAAGGAACGGCCAGAGCCGGGGGCGGGCGTGGCAGAGCAGGTGCCGTGCCGGCCCGAGGCGGGATGGAGAAGGCTTCCCGGAGCCGCGCCGTTAGCTCGGCCGGGTGGGCGGGGTGGGGCTAGGACGCGGGCTGTCGGCCTCGGCACTCGGGCAGGCACCAAGCGGGACGCGGGAAGAAGCGGGGTGCCGCGAGACTCAGGTCCCTTGGAGGAGAGCTCTGAGCGACGGCCGGGACAAAACCTCTCTCAGGCCTCTGGGGTCGCTGCGGGCGGCCACGCGACCCTCGCGACAAAGCACGCTTCCCGGCGACACCGCCTCCCCCTTTCCCCCGAGACGCCGCCGAGGACGCCGGCCGCGCACTGCGATAGCGCTCAGGGTATCCCCCTTTTCTTCTGAGAAGCAGGTGGCCTTGGGAACCTTGGAGCAGTGGCTGTGGGAGGAGGGGCGGGGGCGCCGAGGGGCGGCGCGCTCACAAAGCCTCAGCCTGGCAGCCCGAAATGAGTGTCCCCAGGGAAGAATGGCTTCTCAGTCTACCCATTAGAGAGGTTGCTTTTTTTTTTTTTTTTTTTTGGTAACCTTTTGCAGGAGGATAGGCCTCTTGCAAAGTATTTGTTGCAAAGAGCTGGGTATTGAAAGCTAATCATTTTGTTACCCAGGAAAACCCTTCCTCTCACTTAAACAGATTGAATGCAGCTTGCAGAATTACCTTCCCAGTATGTTTTCTGCCTAGGATTCATATCAAAGCTTGGAGATGATTTATTTCTTGAGGGTCAACACTGACACATATTTGGAAGAGATAAGGGTTGATACCCCAAATAACAAAATTGATTTAAAAAAGAAATCCTCGGATTTCTGTATGATGTTGAACTGCTTTGCAAGTAGAGGAGGAGGTTGGTTGTGTGAGGAAACTGGTGGACTTTGGCAGTGGTAGTTTCCTCTCTATTAGTGTATCAGTGCTTTCCTCCTCTACTTAAATAGTAACGTTTTCAGGAATAAGAAATGGGGCATTTCCATCTCATTCTCTCCTGGTTGATTCAGGACAGATACAGTCGTGGAAACCTCTCTGGCCACAAGAGCACATTTGATTGGGAGACAGAGGGTCATCATCATCCAGAGTGATGTATTCTGGATTCAGCTGATCAGAATCACTTTTGTAAATTATTTGGTTCTTCTCAATTAGTTGATTCAGTGAAAAGTTTTGGAAGAGCTTCTTCTACATCATGATTATTCGGGCCACTACAGTCTCTGATTACAGTGATCTTTTGTTGAAACCACCAAAGGCTCATAATTGTGACCCTGTGACCTTGAAGTGGTTTCCTTGGATTTCAAACCCTATATACATGGGTTAACCTTTCAAGCTGGGAGCTGTAGTATGTTTTCATGTTTCCGTGGAACAGCCCCACAGTCTTGATCCTGGTCTGGTAGGAGAAAATCCTGATGCTCCTCCACTGCCCCCCTCCTCCTCACCCCCAACTAGAAGCCCCAGAAGAGCAGTTGCACTGGCTTGCAGAACTTTCTAAGGTGTTCCTTGTGGAAGGAACAGAACCAGAAGAAGTTCTACAGAGACCCTTGACTTTTGTTTTGGGGGCCAGCCAGCCTCAGTCTCAGAATCTTTTGCCCCAAGAACCCTGCAGTATATTTAGATGTCTGGCATTGTTTTTCCCATCTATAGCAAAGTGAGCAACTGACTTTATTGATGAGGGTTCTGTAAAGCAGAAGCCAGGGCATTTATGTGCCTAGGTATACATTCATATTGTTAAGATGATATTAGCTTCCATCAGAGAATCTTAAAATTGGATGATCCACCTGTGATAGAAACAGCTGTAGTTTCAAGCACTTGGCACGTAGTGTATGCCCCACCCAGGCTCTCAGTGCATGGTTTCCTTTCACACTACACAGCTCCATAAAGTAGGGACTTTGATTGTCCCTATTTTAGAGACGAGGAAAGTGAGGCAGAGTGGCTAACCCACTTTTTGTGCTAGAAGTGGGGAACTGAGATTCAAACCAGCCTTGTGTGACTCAGGGCATCGGTGTGGTTCTGTTCTGGGAACCAGGTGTATGGCTGTGGACAGAAGCCATGCCTCCTGGGTGTCTTCCATTAACTGGAGGGGTTCACCCTGTCACCTTCGAGGGCCAAGCACTCTTAGGCCTGGGGACAGGTGAATGTTGTAAGTGACGAAAAGCCTTGAGGCAGAATTCCTGGCATGACACAGAGTGCATAGTCAGAAGTGGGAACATGTAGTTACCAACTCTGGTGTGAATTAGCTATTGGGGGGTCCGTTGACCTGGGTGAGCTATCATCCCAGGACCCAGCCACCAGTGAGGCTTTTTGGGCCACAGGGTGTGCTTCTTCCAGGTCCCACAAAGCCTGGGATAGCCCAGAAGTGGAGTTCTGTGCAGGGAGTGCATTCTCAGTGGTACAAAGAGGGGAGAAGCGTGAGCGTGGGACAGGCAGACACTCAGAGTGCTCTCAGCTTGCCTGCACATTCAAGTCCCTGAGGGAGTCATTTTTTTTTTTTTCTTTTTGTGATGGGGTCTCACTCTTGTCACCCAGGCTGGAGTGCAGTGGTGTGATCACGGCTCACTGCAACCTTGACCTCCCTGGGCTCAGGTGATCCCTCCCACCTCAGCCTCCTGGGTTGCTGGGACTATAGGCATGCACCACCACACCTTGCTAACTTCTGTATTTTTTTGTAGACTTGGAGTTTCACCATGTTACCCAGGCTGGTCTTAAACTCCTGAGCTCAAAGTGATTTGCCCACCTTGGCCTCCCAAAGTTCTGGGATTATAGGTGTGAGCCACCATGACTGGCTGGGAGTAAACTTTTGGCTGAAGTAGGTCACATATACAAAAAAGTGTACAGGGTCTAAGTGTACAGTTGGGTGAATCTTCTTAAAGTAAATGTACCTGTGTAGGCAGCGCTGAGAAGGCCCCCTCAGAGGGTCCTCATTTTTGAAGTTCTCCTAGGGATTCTCCTGTGCTGGCAACCTTTGAACTGGACAACCTGTCAGGCCTTTCCTGGCTGAAACTTGAGTGTGGACATCTTTTCTTAACTTAATGATGTATTAATTTAGTTCACATCTGCTGACTCCATTAGAAGTTGAAGTTGTTCATTTAACAAAATTGCCATCTCATGTGAAAATAAGAGATTGTGATTATTATGCTGTATCATTTTTTATTTCTTAAACTGATACATTATTTTAAAAAACCTTCATCTGCTTCTAGTAGTTTTAGGGAATATGATTAAATAAACGTTAGTTTTCTAACAAAAAGTTCAAATCAGGTGCCATATTCTCATTGGGGAGATGTTCATTTTGGTGGTTATATGTTCTAGGTTGGGCTAAGCGAGACATTTAGGTTTTGTTTTCAAATGCTGCAAAAGTAGATGTTTATTTCTGGCTTAATATTTTAAAAGAAAAATGGTAATTATAGAAGTTCTAATTTAGAAAAACCTTTGCAGTAGCATTCATAGAATCTTAGACCTTTTAAAGCTTAAAATGTGTTTGGATTGATTTATGCTACTGGCCTTTAATGATCTAAAGATTCTTTTTTCACTTTGATAGACAACACTGGAACTGTCGAATATTTTTACAAAAAAGTGATGACTGTTTTAGTGTACATGTTAAAATGACAATTATTACTTCATGATTTAATTCAGGAAATGTTTTGTTGCCCAGAGTGAGCTGGACAGAGTGGAGTTATAATAGCTGTCATGTCCTAGGCATTTGCCTGAGCTGAGAACCATCCTAGAGGGACATCAGCTCACCAAGCCCATGGCCATTCCAGGGCCAAGTACTGATACTGTTGCAACTCATAGGAGGAGAGACCAAGGTTGGAAGGAAGTCACCTGGTCACACAAGTGAGAAGTTCCGAGTTGGCATGTGACAGCAGGTCTAGGCTCTTAAGGACTCCACTTTTGTGTCCTGAATGTTCTCCTTCCAGGTAGCCTGTCCACATTTCAGCGTGCCTCCTCTCATTGGATTAGCCTTGAGTGTACTGTGTTCATTCCTTTTTCACTACCTTTGTCTTCGTGGTTGCCTTGCTGCCTCAGCTATCCCATCTGTAAACAGCTGATTACAGTGAGGATTAGAATCTAGCTACTCCAAGTGTGAGCTGTGGATCACCTGGGCTATATTAGAAATGCACACTCTCAGGCCTCCCCCAACCTGCTGAATCAGGACATGCATTTCATCAAGATGCCCTGGTGATTTTTGTGCACACTGCAGTCTGAACAACGTGGATTACAGGTGATTTAGGTCAGGCTCTCAGTACATGGGGGTTCTCACTGTCTCCCCTGTTCTCTGATAACTTCCCTGAGGGAGAAGATCTGGCTGTTCAGTCCTCTGGTGTTTCCCTCAAAGCTGAGTAGTGCTAAGATAGAATGTGCACTAAGTTGATTGATTGGTGTTAGTTTTAGAACACAAATCCACTGGTATTACTGCACTAATGAATTTCCACCTTAATCCTCTTAAGGGACACATCTGTTTGCTACATTACATTAAGATTTTAAAAAGATGAGATCATTAGTAAACTTGGCAAATGTGTTGCGTCATAGTATCTTAGGACAACACTGTTTAAGAATGTTGTATGAACAGCTAAGAGTGTCTCCGTGTAAGCAGAGTCGCATCTGACTCCACTGTAATTAGCTCAGTTGGTTGGAGCCTCGCTATTGAGATCAGGATCATGGGATTGAACCCTTCATGGGTCAGTTGGCTTTGTTTCATGCATGGCCACAGACTATATCGGTAACCTAGCCAGACATCTAGCAGGTGCTGTCATGGCCCC